TTTTTTGGCATTTTGAAGTATTTGCATACATTTAATAAGATATCTTAGGAATGTGACCCAAGTCTAAATGTGAAATTCATTTATTTCATATATAACTTGTACACATAGCATGATGGAACTTTTTACAATATTTTTAATAATTTTGACATCACACAAAGTTTCATGGTAATGGAATTTTTTTCTACTTGTRGCATCATGCTGGAGCACAAGCAGTTTCAGATTCTGAAGCATTTKGGGTTAGAGATGGTAGGTTAACCTATATAACTTTTCCTCTAGAGATGGGAAGGACCTTGCATTAAACAATATTTTTTATTCCTATCTCTTCCATATGTCTATTGCATTCTATCCTAATTCAAATGACGCCTTGTTTTTGTAAGTATCCATCACCATTTCTTCAGAATTACTTTCACCCCACATCTTTCTTTTGATCTGATATCTTTTACTTTTCAAATTTTTTCTATACCAAGACACTTTCTATGCCAAGACACATGATGCTTTCAGGTACCATCAATTAAGTTTTCCACATCATTTTCCTYTCTTTCCTTTATTTGTTCCTAAATTAAGATACTTCTGAAAAACTAATAAATTGTACAGAGAGGTCATTGTATAAAGAGCATTATACCAATACTTTAAGGAAATCCAATGGAAAATAATTTTTAATTCAAGTAAATTTGTAATTGAATTGGGTAATAAGAGGCCYCTCTAGGGCTGATGGGAAAGGAATATTGTTCTGACACTTGAGAACTTATTAGCATATAAACTGTTCAACATATWAGATAGTCCTTATACTGTCTCTTTTTATTGCTTAGCACTTTGTCATAAATGTGGCTATTCATTACTAATAAATATTGTAATTTAACTTTTAATTATCTGATATTATCAATCATTACCTACAGCTCMAGTGTTTAAAAATCAAATTTTTATTCTGTTTGCCTTTCAAGTGATCTATTAACATTAGAAAGATAACAAGAGTTTTAGGAAAATGCTTCAAAATAAAAATTTTGTATATAATTTCAAGAACAAAAAATAAGTTAAACCTTATGGCAACCAGTTAAAGCATGCCACGTACACCAATATTTAACTTGAAGCAAACATTTTTAGACAAAATAATTGACACTTAACTATTTATAATCCTTTAGAGTACAAAAGGATTTAATATTTCAAATTCCAAAGGATAAGAGAAGAATATTGAAAGTACTATTTCAGTTTATAGCATAACTCTTTGAACAATACAGATATTGAGGCCTCAGAATTATTAACTACAAGGAGAGAGTAAAAGTCAAAATTCATTTAATAAATTCCAATGAGCTTCAGTTGAGAGAACACATGCCTTGAACACACATCTGAAGAAAAACCTAAAAGATGCTTTCCAACTCTGCTGCAGAGCTGACCAACCAGTCCTGGGGATCTCATTCTGACCACAGAACACTGCAGGCAGTACCAGATGGACCAGCAAACCTGCAATATTTATTATTCATATAGAGCAAACAGGCTTAAATCCTCTTACTTCCTTTTGCAGTGATAATTTACAAAAGATACAGAGCTGCCATCTAGTGACTAAAAAGAAAAAAGCAAGGTGCTTAACATGAAAAATCATAAAGCCTTTTTTTTAAAAAAAAAAAAAAAGCAATAAAACACTAAATTTAGTAAAACTATCACAATTTAGCACATCGAACTTCCAAATGTATAGGTAAACTAATATACCTGTATGTATCTAAAATGTATCTTGACATCTAATTCTTATAAATAATATAGCTTAAAATTAATAGGACAACAAAATTAATTTCTCATCTCCTCCATCTAATGGTTMTGGAATAAAATAATACTAAACAGTCATAGGATACTTTGCACGTAAAAGTATGAATTTTTATCATTGTAGAGGTATAGAATCAAATGCATATGTTCTAATCTTAGTTTTTCCCTTTATCAATTTTGTGGCTTTAGGCAAATTACTGTTATCTCCTACAAGCATCACTTTTCTCTATCAGTAAAATGTGAATTAAAATAATTATTTTAAAGAAGTATCGTAAGGAATACACAATATAATATAGTAAAACAGTAAGTATACAGTAGGTTGATAATTCTAGTTCCTTGTATCACCCTTATGGTCAATTACTTAGGCTTTTATGAAAATACATCATCAAAAATGAGCCAGTCCATTTAAAAAATAAATTAAAAAACTTATAACAAGGAGTCAATGTTGGAAAAAGCCAGTCATGCCATTGTTATGTTCTTAACCTCTACTTCTTCCAAATATTATTAACTATTAATTAATTTATAATATTTCCTGACTTCTGGACACTTCATTGTTCAAATAAAGAATATTTATTCAATCTATTTCACCCTTAAGTCTCTGTTTTTAAATCCYCTAGTCCACCAGGTTTTCTGCTTACTGCAATATATATTACCATAGTCCATAGCTCAAGAAAAAGAGAAAATCACTAAATAATCTTTCATATAAGCCAAGTGCATTAGCACACACCTGTAATCTAGCAACTCAGGAGGCTAACACAGAGGATCCCAGGTTCAAGGCCAGTCTCAGCAACTTAGCAAGGCCTTAAGCAACTTAGCAAGACCATGACTCAAAATAAATAAAAAGTAAAAAGGGATCAGAGGAGGCAAGGTAGCACAGGCCTGCAATCCCAGCAGCTTGGGAGGCTGAGGCAGTAGTTTTGCAAGTCAAAGCCAGCCTCAGAAACTTGGTGAGGCCCTAAGCAACTTAGCAAGACCCTGTGTCTAAATAAAATATAAAAAAGGGCTAGGGATGTGGCTCAGAGATTAAATGCCATTAAGTTCATCCCCAGTAACAATCAATCAATCAATCAATCAATAGGAATGGGGATTTAGCTCATGGATAAAGTGCCCCAGGGTTCAATTCCCAGTACCAAAAATAAATAAATAATAATAATACACATGAATGTGTATCTTCAGATATTATAACTATAATATTAATATAGAAGACAGTGTTGTACATGTTTTATCATGTAGTTATTACAGAATACTTCTTGTCTAGGTTCTCTTTGGCAGTATCATATACAACAAAGGATTCAGTCAAGTATCACTTGAACATAAAATTTAGAAAAATTTAACATTTTCTTTCAGGTAACAATTTAACCATGACTACCTTAACAACAACAACAACAAGCTCAAAAAATAATGAGATTATATGTTAAAGGCATTCTTTTTCTTAATTTTACTATTTCTCTTTTCCTTCTTTTTAGCTTTATCTAATTCACTTTTAGTTAGATTGTAGTTAATTAAATAACCCATCAGCTGAGTCCACCATGCCTCTCCAAGTGCCCCCAGGTTGATGTATGTCCCTTCACTGACAACAACAAATAAGCTGAAAAAAACTTGATTTTATTACACTGCCCTTACGAGCAGATTTGCTTTTAATTATAATAGCAYGTATGATGCTGTATTTTTGTGCAACATCATGGACTATTCTCTATGCTAATGTTATGCCTCATTTCTCCTCCAGGGGGAGCACAATTTTCATGTATGATGCAAGGCTTCTTCAAATGGAAAGTTAGTTTTTAAAAATTTTTTTCCTTCAATTTTAATTGGTTCAAGTTAGTTACACATAACACGAGGATTCCTTCTGACAAAATTATATGTGAAATATCATATTCATAATTATGAATACATGAATATCAGTCCCCAGTACTTTCCCTTAGCCTTACCCTTCTCCTTCCTCCTATTTTCTTTCCCCCGTCTACTGATCTTTCTATTATGTGTTTACATTTATTTTATTTTAAAATTAGGGTCTCATGGATATACATAATGTTGATATTCACAGGAGCAGATTCATATATGTAGAYAGGAAAGTTAGATCGGATTATTCTACTGTTTTTCCCTTATCCCATCCTTCCTCCCTTCCCCTCAATCCCTTTCTTCTACTCCCCTAATCTTTCTTTTATTTTGATGGAATCCCCCCAAACAAATCCTTGTTTCTTCTTTCTCTTTCATTTTAGACTACATTCCATATATCAGAAAAAACATTCAACCTTTGACTTTCTGGGATTAGCTTATTTCACTTAGCAAATAGACTCTAAATTTAGGTTTTTAAGAGTTTTCAAGGATGACCAATTCTTTAATTTACAGAGAATGGCATTGTCTCAGATCCTCTACATATGTCATCACATAGTAACCAGAAATAGATCTGGGTGTAGAACACAGGTATGAGTCCTCTTTTTTCCTGCTAGACCGCACTCAACATAACAGAACAAACATCCCCTTTACTGTTGATTTCTAACAGCACTAAGTTATTTTCAGAAGCATAGTTGGACAAAAGTATAAATAAATTAAACCAAAAATTTATATATAAAATATCAACTACTATCTATAATTATTGTTCCACAAAACATTATCTTCCTTGCCAATTTTTTTTTATAATAAGTCCATTTAAGCACAAGGAAAAAAAAAAAAGACAAACTTTTAGCTTCTTCTGTAACAGAAAAAAGCACTATGGATTTAAACAAATACTAAATAATATTTTTTCCACCAAAGCAATTCAAAAACTTAAGAGGCTGGGAATGTAGCTTGTGGTAGATTGCTTGCCTAGCCTATACAAGGGCTTAAATCCCACTCCCACCACCAAGGGGGGAAAAAGTCTTATTTGATTTTAGAAAAGCTCTGAAAGATTATTTTAAAGAAAGTATCCATCAGACTATTCAGCCCAGGCCCATCTCAGAAGAGAAGTCTCCTAAAGTGGCCAGATTTTCCTGCTGGAGACAGCTGTTGTTGGGCCCAGTTCTTTGGCTGGATACAGAATGATGTAGCTTCTGAAAAACTTGTACTCAGTTCCACTTCAAGGCCGATTTTCCATGAAAAACACAAATAAAAGAAAATATCCCCTTCTGCCTGACCAGTTCCCCTAAAGGCTRAGGGGAACAAGGACAACCCAGCCAGCAGAGCAGATTGGAAGATAAATCACAGAGCCTGTCACGATTTTAAGATAAATGAGATAAATATTTGACATTCTAATAAGATTTCCTTACCTGCTGGGCAGCATCTGAACTTTTTTCTGGAGTTTCCAAAATAGCAGATTGAGATTCTGGATTAGAAAGGAAGCAAGTGGTCAATATCTTTAAAAAAATATTCTTAGTCAAAAAATTAAAATTTTCAGTAAAATATATCTTTAACCATAAGTACTAAAAATATTCAGTCTCTCTTCCAAATATATTAATGGATTATGAGAATACGACTATATGCAGCAYATAACACATATAATGACAAACACTCATGTCATTCATTATTTTAAAAAATTGGAATGGTCCTTCTCTGCACATCAATCACAGTTATTTTTCTCAGTGCTAATATCTATATTGTTGTCTAGGAGTACTGGCTAAGATGTTTACTTATATTAGTCACTTAGTTAAAATTCATACATAATGGAAGCCACCTCAATCTTGAAGGATGGGATCTCAAAAACCTTATCCATCTGTTGACATATTACCTTCTGACTTCAATGAGAGATAATACTGTTATTGAAGCACTGAGTAATAAGGGATACTGAAGGAATATTATCATTTGAAATTCTATGAGACTGCAAATTCATCACACTGGAAAACAAAAGAGATAACCACACTGGGAATTTTGTTAAAGCTAAGGGGAACTTTCTTCTAAGTGAAGCCTGAATGCAATTTAAAAACTTAAAAATAAAGCTGGGCATGGTGGCGCATTCCTGTAATCCCAGTGACTTTTGAAGCTGAAGCAAGAGGATTCCAAGTTTGAGGTCAGCCTCAGCAACTTAGGCCCTGTCTCAAAATTAAAAAAATAAAAAGGACTAAGGATGTAGTTCAGTGGTAAAGTGCCCCAGGGTACAATCCCTAGTACCAAAAATAAATACATAAATAAGTTAAAAAATTAAAAGGGGCTTTAGGAGTTCCCAGTGCCTGAAAACCACTAATCTCATCCACTCTCTGTATTTGAAGATGAGAATCCCCAGCAGTTAACACAAGCAGTTGGTGGTAGGATGAAGACTAWAGGTTATGTCTCTCTTGCCTATCACATTGCTCCCCTTGACTGACAGACCAGATACAGGACACAAAGCAGAGCAGGCACTTTTCACAATCATGTTGACATTCCCAATTCAATAGCATTGTAACTGATGCATGTGACAATGCAACAGAAAAATTAAAAAGTACTTAGTATTTAAACAGATAACATACCATTAAGCTCACTGAAAATTTTCATCGTGCTCAGATGAATATCACCATATTAAGACAGGTCCATAGGCCTTGTTTGATCTGCCCATGATACCTAACAGGTTTAACCACCTTTGCCTTTCCCCCTTGCTCACTATGCTCCAGCCACCTGGGCAAGCTCGCCATTCTCTAATATACCAATGATTCCCTACTCCACCAGGTCTCCAAAGCCACAGCAGCTATTCTCCAAAGCTCAGAGTGCTCATTCTTCTTCAAGATATCTGCATGCCCTGCTTCCTTGACCCSTCCCTCATGACTTTGCTCCAGCCTCCTGGAGTAATCTATTTAAAGTGGCAATCCCCAACCCCCCAACATTCCCTATTCCCAGTCTTTACTTTCTCCAAAACATGGACCGTCACATCCTACATTCCACAATTTACTTGATGTGCCTACTTATTATCTCTCATATCCCACTGGAACATAAGCTCCATGAAAGTARCGACTTGTGTCAAAATTGTTCCTCTATCATATTCCAAAGCATCTAGAATAGTACCTGGCACATAGCAGTTGCTTAAAATATTTACTAAGTAATTATAGGAATGAATAAGAGAATAAGTGAAAGATCAAAAGAATGATCAAGATATGAAACTGGGTGCCACCATGAAAAGTTGGGTGAGCTGGGTAGGGAAAGAGAGAATAAGGATTTTACAAGAGGTAGCAAAGATAYTTGCCTTGCCTTTGGCTACTTCTTGAACTTTAGCTGAGTCGTTTTTCAAAACAAAATCATTGAGAAAAGCTTGAAGTAGTCACCAATAGATGTTATGGTGACAGAAGAACATAAACAAGTAGACTTAAAATACAACCATAATTCCAGACAACACTGTTTCAATGAGCCAATAAAAAACACTTAGAATTCAACACCAGAGTTCACCAAATTTGAATAAAGATCTTTAATATCAAAGCTAGTCAACAGTTAAATCCCAAATCTGGAAGACTCTTATGTTTTATTACTTCCAAATCCTCCCAAATAATAGATTGAAGATAAATCCTGCCTTGGTACACATGGGGGAAACTTTCTTTTCTTGTTGTTTCTATTTTGATAGCCCTAGAACAGTCAAGTGATCTCCTGSTAGTTCTTTACATTAGAAATGCATACCATGGGTCAGGCACAGTGGCACACACCCGTAATCCCAGCTGCTCGGGAGGCTGTGGCAGGTGGATTGTAAGTTCAATGTCAGCCTCAGCAAAAAGTGAGGCGCTAAGCAACTCAGTGAGACCCTGTCTTTAAATAAAATACAAAATAGGGTTGGGGCTGGGGCTTAGTAGTAAAGTGGCCCTGAGTTCAATTCCTGGTGAAAGGAAGAAAGGAAGAAAGGAAGAAAGGAAAGGAAAGAAAGAAGGAAGAAAGGAAGGAAGGAAGGAAGGAAGGAAGGAAGGAAGGAAGGAAGGAAGGAAGGAAGGAAGGAAGGAAGGAAAAGAAAAAGAAATGCATACAGTGCTTCATAGCTTTTTTTTTTCTATAGTTTATGACCTGGTAATCTGCCCCCCAAAACAAACTTCTGACTCTGGTGGTCAATAAGAACAGTGCAGTTTATCAGAACAATGTATTAGAAAACAATGCTTACTATAAATGTTATCAAGCATTCTGAATACCTACGCCCAAATTCCCAGTTTTCCTCCAGTCCAATAGCTACTTGAATGGAATTTATTCTCCTATTCTAACCTTTATCCCTTTCACTGTTCTCTTCATTTCCTTGAAGCCATTAAGAAAAATTTATATCTCAAAATTCTCTCTTCAAAATCAGAAGCTGGAATGTAGGAAATTTAGAGCATCAGGATTTTGAGAAGAAAAAAGATGCATGGAATAACTCTACTGCAAAATAAAGGGTAAGTGAATGAACACAGCTAAGAAATAAAAATATGAAAGGGAAGGAAAATGATAGAGAATAAAAGAGAAAAATATGGTAAAGAAGGTATAGGAAGAAAAAAAAAATAAAGAAAGCCCAAGAAATGGTAAAAGTAGCCTAGAAAAGTTGGCATGGTAGGAASAAATAAATGAACTGGCTCCTGAGGAAGGTCTCAACACTAGAATCTCCATGCAAGTAGAGTTGAGAACTCAGCTTTATCTTAACACTCATAGAGGTCTCTGGATGAAAGTGATCAACCCTCACATAAACCAATGTACTTGTTACCAACAGTCTACTCCTCACAGGAGTCAGGGCACTTTCCAGAACTGCCTTAAAAATAAGAAGTCTTAAGCAGGTTTACACACAAGCATTCTCTGCTGCAAATTGTCCCTCTATTCTATATTTTATCTTTTGATTAAGTGAGACGCTCAGAGGGGTAGAACACTATCAATTTACCCTTGGTCCTTAACAGAATTCCCACAAATATGTGTTAAAGCATCTAACCAGCTCTGAGACTGATAGGTCATCTTTACTAAATATTCATCGAGTAGAGTTGTTCTTTTCAGAGAATAACTCAGTGAGAGGGCTATACAAAAACTACCACCGCCTTTACTCACCCTTTTGAAAATTTAAGAAACTAAATGTTTTGTTTTGTTTTGTTTTTAAATCACTATGAAGCAAAAAGGGAGACAGAAATTCCTGACAGAACTTTAAATACTCTATTTTTTAAAAAAGTTACTTCATACAACTCTGAGCATAATCTAAAATTCTGGGATACATACAATTCCAATATTTTCAGAAGGAATTTCTTTATCATAAAATAAGCCCACCACTCATAAAACAAAACATATGAGTTTCATATTTGTAGAGATATCAATAAGATAATGAATAAGATATACATCTTTGATAAAAAAGGAAAATAAAAATTTCCCTTTCAACTATATCAACTATGCCATCTAAAAATAAGAAGTCTTAAGCAGGTTTATACTTTTACTTAAATTTACTTTATATAATTTACTTAACATAAAATTTACTTAAATGTAAATTTCTAAATATATATAAAATTATTAAATTCAGCTTCTCTAATGGTATACATCAATTTGATTCAAATCTAGTAAATTTTATTGAAAGAAAATTCACTAAACTTAATTTAAACAGCATGCCTTATGATTGGTTCACTTAATAAATGGTATATGTTTTTAATCTGATATACTATGTCCTCRAGAAATGAAAATGGAGTTAAACATTTAAATTTTCCTAAATGGAATAAAACTTATGTTCTGCTTACTTATTTATTTAATAGCATGAATCTGCTCCTCACTGTCAACAAAAGATATCCACACCCAGAATTCAGCTAGCTAAAAAGAAATTTATTCAGTTTTACTGGCCCCTAAATATACACACATATTCATGCATGTGCAAACACACAAGCATTGTCTGCTGGAAACAGTCCCTCTAGTCTGTATTTTATCTTTTGATTAAGTGAGACACTCAGAGGGATAGAACACTATCAATTTACCCTTGGTCCTTTACAGAATTCCCACAAATATGTGTTAAAGCATTTAGACAAAACATGTAAATGAATTATATTACTACAATTGTATTACATCACACAAAATCTCTTAGGGACCATCAGAAGCATGTGGGGGTGGGGGGATATTAGAGGCCATCAAAGTTGTGTGTCTCTGAGAAACTGTTGTTTTCAATCTCATGGACATTGAGGATCATACAGAATTGTTCATATTTCCCTTTCTTCTCTGATAAATTTCCAAGCACCTTTGAAATAAACTGTAGGAATGTCTAAGATACATTTCAGTGTTCTAGTTTAACTCCACTTCATTCTATTGTTCTATCCTAAATTCCTTTTAGTTGATACATTTCTTTATGATCTTCTTAGACATAGATATTTATAAGCTGCTCAAATCCTTTGTAGAGCAAAGGTGAGTGCCAGCACAGAAACAGACTTTCTTTTTTTTTAAGGATATCTTCAGAAATTTTTCTGTCTTATTTCTACCAGATCATCTTCCATACAATTTCTTTCTTTCTCTTTTTGCAGAGCTGGGTATCCAACTCAGGGCCTTGTACACGTTAGGCAAGTGTTCTATCACTGAGCTACACTAAAGTCATGTATACATACATATATGTTTTTCATTCTATAATTTTCTGTATAGGAATTACCTTTCCAAAATAAGTCTTTATTTGCTCTCTGGGCATTGATTTCAAAGAAAGGTAAGGGATTTGGTTTTCCATTGATGAAATAAGATTGATCACATTCCTATTCATATCTACACAGTTTGATTTTTATCCTACATGAATTTAAAAATTCAAGTTAATTATCTCTTTAATTTTTTTATATATCCATCAAATGACCTTTAACACTTGGTATTTGAGCCTCTAAAATGGACCAGGAACTGTTTCAGTATACACACAAGACTTTCCCTCTAATCTTGCACCACTTGTGTGCTTAGCAGGTATTTTATTTATTTAGATCTTTTCCAACATAAAGATCTTCATTTATTCATTCAATAGTTAAGTATACACTATGTGCCAAAAGGTCTTGAAATGATGGGATTCTATAGGAAGGTGTGTATGAAAAAGGAAGTAAATTGTAATCCATAGATACTGCAAATGATGGAAATATAAATAAAATCTCACAGCACTCCAGAAAAGAAAACAACCGGGGATTGGGTAGAGTGGTTGCTTCCTATACATAAGGAGACAAGAAGAGAGAAAAAGTAAAGAGAAAAACAAGATAAATGGAAAGATTTTCTCCTTATAAATGCTTCCAACACCAATAGTAATAGAGCACATCACTACCTAACTTTCTTTCCAGCCGGCCCATACTTCCACGAGGCCTTCTATCGAATTCAAAAGAACAGTTGACATACCATAAGCCCATGGGTGGAGACGTGTGGACTGCACAGAGTGCCAGAAGGGAAGCAAGGATTCACAGGAATCTGTGGCACCAAGATATCACCTCAGTCTCAGCACTTCAAACTGACATGAAGAAGGGTTATTCTTTCATTAATATATGAAGGTAAAGAAAAAACTATTTTACAGATGGTATCATGCAAAAATTAAAGTGAAATATGTGAAAAAACAGAAGAGGCATTTAATCTGAACTAACTAAATATGTGAATTAATGACCAATTTTTTAAAAGAGCTAGAAAAAAAATGAGGAACAAAAAAAGTTCTCGATTTTCTAAGATGGACCTGCAAGTCTTCCTTCTTCAAAAGGAAGTAAAGTTACTGGGCATAGTGGTATACATCTGTAACCCAATCTACCATGAAGGCTAAAACAGGAGAATGGCAAATTTGAGGCTAGCCTCAGCAACTTAGTGAGATCCAGTCTCAAAGTAAAATTAAAAAGAAATGGGATGTAGCTCAGTGACAAAAAACTTGCCTAGCATGTGTGAGGCCCTGGGTTCCATCCCAGTAGTATAAAAGAAAAAGAAAAAAGTCATTGAACTATTTTACTTTAAATTCAAATTGAACCCAATCAACAAATGGGCCAAGGACCTGAACAGATACTTCTCAGAAGAGAATATACAATCAATCAACAAATATATGAAAAAATGTTCATCATCTCTAGCAATTAGAGAAATGCAAATCAAAACTACTCTAAGATATCATCTCTAGTCAGAAATGKCAGCTATTATGAAGACAAACAATAAGTGTTRGAGAGAATGTGGGGGAAAAGGTACACTCATACATTGCAAATTGGTACAGCCAATATGGAAAGCAGYATGGAGATTCCTTGGAAATCTGGAATGGAACCACCATTGGGCCCAGCTATCCCTCTCCTCAGTCTATACCCAAAGGACACAGTGCATACTACAGGGACACAGCCACATCAATGTTTATAGAAGTACAATTCACAATAGCTAAACTGGAGCCAACCTAGATGCCTTTCAGTGGATTAATGGATAAAAAAAGTGGCATATATACACAATGGAATTTTACTCAGCAAAAAAAGAGAATAAAATCATGGCATTTGCAGGTAAATGGACGGCRTTGGAGAAGATAATGCTAAATGAAGTTAACTAATCCCCAAAAAACAAATGCCAAATGTTTTCTCTGATATAAGGAGGCTGACTCATAGTGGGGTATGGGGAGGTATGGGAAGAATATCTATTCCTAGATATTCTAGATAGGGCAGAGGGGTGGGAAGGAAAGGGAGGGGGCAGGGGATTAGCAAGGATGRTGGAATGTAATAGACATCATTATCCAAAGTACATGTATGAAGACAGGAATTGGTGTCAACATACTTTGTATACAACCAGAGATATGAAAAATTGTGCTGTATATGTGTAATAAGAATTGTAATACATTCCACTGTCATTTTTTTWAAATCAATAAAAAATAAATGAATAAATAGATAAATTCAAATTGAAAGGGGACACATGTTTTGTTTTAGTTTTTTTAGTTGTAGATGGATACAACACGTTTATTTTGTTTAATTTACTTTTATGGGGTGCTGAGGATTGAACCTAGTGTGTCACACTTGCTAGGCAAGTGCTCTACTGCTAGGCTACAACCCCAGCCCTAGAAAGGGGACACAGCAGGAAAAACCCAGAAAACACCACTAGATCACTTTGGAGAAATGAATGTTTTTTTGGCTATTTGGATGGATAACAGATCAATTGGAAAAAAAAAGTCACTGTTAAATTACTTTCTATTTACCTCCACCGTCCCCTTCAAGAATGCATATTTTTAAGGGAGACAAGTTATTGTATTAAAAATTATTTGCTCTCGTATTTCTCAAGCTACATCAAATAATAAAAAAAGAATCTTGATTATAAACTCCCTGGTATCAATTCCAACTATCATCTTTACCAAACTAAAATTCAGATGATCACTTTCAATCAACTTTTAATCAAGTGCTCCTTCAGTTACTTAGAAGTAACTGAAAACGTTTCATGACTTTTTTTTTAAAGTGCATCAAAATGTGGAAGATAATACAGATGTTTCAGTTAGAAAGATTGAGAAAAACACAGTAGGGAAGAAGAACACATCAAAATATCACCCCAATCAATGATACAAACACAGGTTATGAGCAAATGTTTAAAGGGCTCTCCAAGAAATTGGTTGATTCTACTACATCAATAGCTCTAAATTTTTTAACAATAAACTTCTGACATAAATACAGTAGTGTGTATTGGGACTGATACATTTAGTTGTGTGCTTTTCTTTTTAAAAATAAAAGTGCTTGTATTTAGTTGCTTTTTTTTTTCAGGTGTTATCATGTTAGAATCCTCTCATCTCTGAAGCTCTTTTAAGAAAATCTGTCTCAGCCCTGATCAATTGCTCTCTATGAGTGTTTTGATAAACACAGTCCCACATGAACAGACTTTTTACATTCTATTTCCCATTTGTTGTTAATTCTAGGAAGTATAGCCCATCTAGTGAATACTAAGCAGTGTGTTAAAGCAATGAACATTTAAAAAGGGATGCACAGTGTTAAGAGTAGGCTCCTATTGCGGGCACTGGTGGAAAGAAATAACGAATAAACACATGCCCCGGAGACTTAGAAAAAAAGAGGTAGTTGGGTTCCCATTGCAAAACTTTGGGCAGGGGCCTAGAATACCTTTGGCACTGTGAGTCACTGTTAATTTCAAAGGGAACTCACTAAGAAAAATAATTACATGACATAACTATAATAAAAAATTTATTATTTTAGCAAATACACTGAATCAGGCAGTGCATTCTGCATTCTAATGCTTTACATGAACTTGTACAATCCTCAAAATAGCCCTTCGCAGTAGACACTATTCTCATTACCATTTTATAGATAAAGAAACAGAGTGCAGTAATTAGAAAATTTGCCTAAGATTACAAAGCTGTTAAGTGGCAGAGCATAAGCTCCATGCCCGTGTTTTAACTGTTTCACCACAAGTCCAAATTGAATTTCTAATGACTATTTCTCTCTCAATGGAGCAAATGGGGAGTGTTAAAATTCTTAATTCTTAATATCCATACTACCATTTTTAAAAAGTTGGTATGAAGAGTTCTACAAATAGCACCGATACTCTTCTATTTACTTTTCACTCATACATTAGAAGTCAATATTTATTTCTGGTCAGTCTACCAAGAGGAASTTGGGCATGCATTATGACAAAATGAAGCAAAAACAAGGGATAAAGTAAACAAATTGTATAAAGCACTGCTGCACAAATATGATTCTCAATTCTGTATAACAATACGAAATGCCTTCCCAGATTCTGGCTTAAAGGTAATTATTTTACTGAATTTCTCCAAATAACACTGATGCCAATCTCACACTATCTTTCCAGCCAGTAACAGAAAATAGTTTAAGACAGTAACAGGAACAGAGAAAGAAAAAAACAGGGATAAAAATTTTAAAGGAAAAAAAAAGAGTATATATGAATGCTGTATAATTTAAGAATTATTTAAAATTGAGAGTTAATAAAATTATATCTCTATTTTCTCTCTCCCAGTTATTTCTACAGGGAAAAAAAAAAAGAACTAAGTAAAAAGAAAGCAGTAAATGAAGAGATTCAGAAGGAAAAGGTAAGGTCCAGCTATCTTTTGAAGGCAGTGGATAGAAATGTCCCTTCRGGGCCATCTTAGTCCAAACAAGATGTGGAGCTTCAACCTCCAGTGGTGGTTCCAACTGAGATGCATGGAGGCAGTGGTTCCCAAACTCYAATATACACAGCAATTAATGAAGAATTCCAGTATCCTATTCCCTGAAATTCTAACTCAACACTCTTGAGCATGAGGTATAAGAATCTTCAACTGCACAACCTTCCCAGTGATTTTAAATTGGGCTATCTACAGGTTAGRTTCTTAAAAATACATAGAAGCACAGACTCATCACCCAATAAGCACTGCAATGACTCATTACGATACACATTCTCAGAACACTCACTGTCCCGTATCCTACCTGTTTCAGCATCCTTGGGCCTGTGTTCTTCATCAGGAGGTCTTGAYGGTGGCCACATAGATGGGACTCGCCTGGGAAACTGCCCTTCTGTGTAATCCAGTGAGTGTGTGGGTTGACTGACTGCAGCCCAGGTATAAAGTTGATCTTGCTATATTTAAAAATAAAATAATTATAAATACTATCAATCCAATCATGAAAAATAGGAGTCTTAAGTCTTGCCAAAGCATTTCTATGTAAAGCACATAAATAAGGTGTATGCTAATTAATTAGAGAATTCCCTAAACTGGCATTGTAACTCATTTGAATGTCCCTTTATCTGTGGCTTTTGTTTGTTTGTTTTTATGGGTTTTATTCTTTTTTCTTTTATTTTTATTTATTTTTTTGCTTATTTCTTTATTGACCTTTTGATATAAGTTTTTATTATGTTGCCCAGGCTGGTGCCAAACTCTTGGGCTCAAGTGATCCTCTTACCCTGGCCTCCCAACTAGTTGGAACTACAGGCGTGAGCCACAACACTGAACTGATATCCCTTTAAAAACTGTTTTTACACTGTGGGAAACTCAGAGTATAAGTTGTACTTTGGTGCCACAAAAACAATAATAGCCTCTTTGCCTTCAACAACACAAGACTCAGAAAATTGCCTTATTTTGGACCCAGATTGGAAGCTATTTGGGAGAGAAACCATAAAAAAGTAAATGAACCTGCCAAGAGTAAAAGAATTAGACAGAGATCTTCTGGCTAAAAAGGCGTTGCCAGCTGCCAACCAACTGATTCTGGACAGAATGTGAAGACTTGTAACTATACTTAGCACCAGAAGAAAAACTGGACAACTCACAAAGGAAGCCACTTGAATCCCATAAACACCTTGCAAAACTTGACACTAGGTTTTCAGAATAACTTGTTTGACCATTTTAAAATGTATCTGCTTAATATGTGTGCCCTATATTCTTTTTGTGAAATTTGTCTTATTCAGGTAGATTTCCCTAACACTTTTGATTGACACCATATAAAGTAATGAGAAAAACAATATAGCAGGGATGAAATGCAAAATATGAACAAAAACCATACTGTAATCACTAGGCTAGGACATCAGAGAATATGCCCATATTTGAAAAGGGTAAGTCTCAGGCAAAGACAGTGCTGCGTCCAGCCAGTAGCTTAGGAGGATGTCTTTAGCTTAGGAGGATGTCTCCTTGCCTGCTGTCAACAATTAGGCACAGAATCTCATCTCCTTTGTGTTTGTTTCACCCAGACTTTTCATGAAAGGTGTGGCCAAGCACCTACCCAAGTAGCAAGTTAGATATGCTCTGACCTCTCCAGAGGACTTYTGTGCACATTAATGTTGTTTAATAAATGTCTCTACGTCTGACAGAATTTGATTTGAGATTTGCTTTCATTAGGACCCATGTTTAATGGGCCTAGACATTTCAGAAAGAATAATCCCCCACAAAAAATCAAAAGTTTTCATTAGAAATAAAAGTGTAAAACATTGCTTGCAAGTACATAGTTCATGGATTTTTTTTAAAACACTATAAATAATCTCCCCTTAGTTGCATAGATAAAATCTATTTCATGCCAGCAGAGGGCTCTCCACCTTGTTACACTGATCTCAAAAAGAAATGCTTCTACCAAACCTTGCTTGGGTGTGACCTGTGAGATAAGGTGCCCACTCACTGCCAATGACTAAAAATGCCCATCCTATTATGTATTGTTATCTTTAGGAGGGCTCTGAAGATACAGTCATTTCATGTTAGAATTTTACACCTTTACCTGAAGAATTAAATAGATGGATGGTATTTTGAGTTTGTTTTTTTAGTCATACACACAATGTGAATTAGGTTGATCAGATGTGCTTTTCATTTTGGCTATTAGAAATAAGTATGTGGCCTGTCTGCCACAATTTTAGGGATCCCGGAATGTTTTATTTTGTGGTGCTGGGACCAAACTCAGGATCTTACACATGTTAGGCAAGCACTCTACCACTGAGTTATACCCCCAGCCCTTCRGAATGTTTTTGATTAGTCTTATTCCTTTGTGGTCCACCTCAGTTTTTTGTTTGTTTGTTTACTTCTGTTTTTTCTTCTTTAAAGTTTTTAATAGCAGSACATTTTTCATTATCTTTTCATATCCCTTCTTACTAAATTTTTATACTAAATTCATACCTTCTCAAACACCTTTTGGACTAAGTGGCAATAAAGTATTATTACTATTAGAGAAATGGCGGAGTGTCTACTTTATCCATTTTTAACTCATCTAAATCACTTATAAGATGACTGATTGGATAAAAAGTGGATCTACTGACAGTAGACTGAATTGAACTCATAAGTTTTTTCCTATTTATCCTGTAATTATTAAAAAATTATAGTATAACCCTTAAAATTGTGTTGCAGTGGGGGAGATCAGAAAAACAGTAAGTAATCGGTACCATAATATAATACAATCCATTTTTAATCACTACGTAATTTGCTGTAATTATTTTCACATCCTTTTATAAATAACATAATTAGATTTTTTAAATAACTGTATTGTCTTCACACTTATAATTTATATTTCTGTCTTGATCTTCAAATACTTAACACTATAATATTATCTTTACATGGTTTTATATAAAAACATATACTCATAGGCCAGTGACTTTAGTGAGCATCTCGAACTACCCTGGCCTCCCAGGTTAGTGCTTGCAGGAGATGGACTAGGCCTTTTTAGATTTTTCCATTTCATGCTGAACAACACACCAAAGATGGATTTGGGACAAACAAGTGCTTGGAATTCCCCGAAGTGCTGAAACTGCAACACACCAATGACTGACTTGTGAGAAACCTGGACTTAGGGTGACATCTGGTGCTGAAACAATGGAAGTGATAACAAGTTCAAAGAAAATAAGAAACGTAGAATTTCTGGAAAGATAGGCACAAACAAAGCAAAATTATAAAATCTGGAATCAATACCTAACCCTTCAATGCACAGACCATGGCAGACACAGACAAGCATCAAGAATTTCCAGGGAAGTAGAAACTACTAGTGAAGGGGAAAGGGAAAGGAGCTGGAGAGGGGATAAGTGGAGAGAGAGGGTAGGGAAGGGTAGAAAGGATGGAAAAATAAATAAATCACTTTAAAACAAAACAAATTTCTGGGAACCATGAGCTAAARTATCATTCAAAATAAAGAGCAAGAAAATGAGGGCTGGGGATGTGACTCAAGCGGTGGCGCGCTCGCCTGGCATGCATGCGGCCCGGGTTCGATCCTCAGCACCACATACAAACAGAGATGTTGTGTCTGCCGAGAACTGAAAAATAAATATTAAAAAAAAATTCTCTCTCCTCTCCTCTCCTCCCTCCCCCCCCTCCTCTCTCTCTTTAGGAAAGGAAGAGGAAAAAAAAAAAGAAAATGAACAAAAGGTAACTAATTGGCGAATTCTCACATGAAAAATTTTAAAACTGTTATTTGAGGAAATTCAACAAGATTCAAGAAAACAGAGAAATGTTTCAATACTCGTAACAGAGAATCTTTGCAAAGAGATGGAAGCAATTAAAAAATATCCTTAAACTGAAAAATATACTAAGCAAAATTGAAAACATTATAGAAGGCATCAATAGTAGAATAAATCAAACAGAAGAAAGAATCAGCTCAAAAAAGACTATTGGAAAAAACACAGAAGGAAAAAAAAGGATGAAGAGGAATGAAGAAAACTTATAGGAACTTAGAGATGTCATTAAAAACAAATATTCAAGTTACTGGAGTTCAAAAAAGACTTGAACATGACAAAACAGTATAAAGTTTATTCAAAGAGAAAGTAATAGAAAACACCCCAATCCTAGAAAACAATACAAATATCCAGAAGCATACAGGAAGGTCAAAGGTCACTAGTAAAATTTATATCAACCGAGTCTACCCTAAGACATATTATGATCTCAAAGGTAAAATATTACGAGAAAATTCTCAAGTTAGCAAGAAAAATAAAATCAAARCTAGAAAACATTTCTGAAATTAATTATAATGAAAATATTATATGCCATAAGTTTGGGGTGCAGTCAGCTATGTTGAAAGAGAAATGTTTTGGTTTAAATATACATATTAAAGGAATAAAAAGGTTTAAAATATATGCATCTCAATAATTAAGTTAAAACAAAACCCTTGTAATGTAGTTGAAAGAAGGAAATAGATAAAAGTACTAAGGAAATAGATAAAAAGTACTAATAAAGTAGCCTTCAAAGAAGTCCTCTAAAAATATAAATAAATAAAACTGAAAGCCTCTGACAGGTATAATCAGGTAGAGATTTAAATAACCAATGTATGAAATGAAAATGGAGAGTGGTGGTGGTGATGGCCCATGCCTGTAATCCATCCACTCAAGAGACTCAGGGTGACTCAGCAATTTAAGCCCTAAACAACTTAGTGAGACCCTATGTCAAAATAAAAAGGGCCGAAGATATAACTCAGTGGTAAAGTCCCTTGGGATGGGAAGGGAAGGGAAGGGAAGGGAAGGGAAGGGAAGGGAAGGGGAGGGGAGGGGAGGGGAGGGGAGGGGAGGGAGAGAAAAGAAAAGAATATGAAGAGCTGGGAATATAACTCAGTGGTATAGAGCTTGCCTAACATGCAAAAGGCTCTAGGTTTGATCCTCAGCACTACAAAAAAACAGAAATGAGAAAGGAATCATACAGACCCAAGTGATTAAGAAGATAGTGGTCATGTATAACTAAAAAGAACAAATAAAACATTTTTGATAAATGGAAAAAAAAGAATGTAGTGGAATAACTATAACAAATTTTTTAATTAGAGAAAATGGAAAAATTCTTAGAAAAAAATGTAACTTACCAAAACTATCATGCAAAATAGAAACTGTAAAGGGTCCCACAACTGGCCTTTGCTTTCATGATGTCTTTTGGGGGGGCGGGGTGTGTGGGGGGGGAGCATATATAAATGTCATAACTCCCATAACAACTGAAGATAGGGAACTTGAAATAGTGTAATCCCTGCTTCTGATAATCTTCACAGAGGATATAATTGGTCAAACTATGAGTACTGTTGACCTAACTACTTGAGAATCAGGAGGGTAAAAAAGATCATGTGAGTTCTTTTATCAGACACCATCACACAGTGTTTGGTTGGGAAATGAAGGTACTCATGACAAGAGTTAAGATAGGAAAG